TCAATGAATCAATGAATCAATGAGTGAAAATACAGGGCGACAACACAGAATCAGAAATGGTATGAAGCAGGAGCCCATCACTAAGAGCGTGCAACTAACATACTAAACCTATGTTATGGCATTTTTACAGAGCGATCTATTTTTAGGCTTCTTTTCCCGCGAAGCAGGTCAGTTCCGGTCTACATGAGCGCACATCGGCAAGGAAGAAAAGGGAGTTACCTTACATCAGGAGCCCATCTCTTCTTCTGGTGAAATGATGATGTCAGTTGAAAATTAAGTCCGTGTTTGTGATTGGTCACTGAGATTCCTGCAAAATTTGCTGTTTTCCTCCAAAATTTGTGAGCCTCGTGAGTCCACAACATTTTGACCACTGTGATGACGCGTATCGTTGCCGATAAGAGTACAGACCACGCTAGCCACTTTCGATTTCTCAAATAACCAATTGACACCAGGCGTTCTGCAACGCTTAACTGATACCTAGTCTTAGTCCGAACGGAAATGTCCAGAGTAGGCCGAGGAAATTTTGCTTAGCATTTTTTAAACAAACATAGTCTAGAAAGTAGAGGCAATCTGAATTCCACTGGCTCGCGCTTCGCTCTACTGTCTAAAACAACGACTATTTACAGTCGAACATTAATTAAGCCAAAGTCGTCCATGTATAAAGATATAACGCTATACTGAAAAAGTCCAGTTAACAATTCTAGTCTTATCTTAGAGTAACAAATCATTTGACAAGAAAGAACTGTTTGCCTCTTCTTTGTTTGTGACTTCACTATTGAATGTACTGTCTCTCTCACTACGGAAATCAACAACGACACCATCTGTGATGTCATCTGAGCCTTCTATCACACGACTAGGCTGCACTTCAGAGGTGCCTTGAGCTTGCCCATGCGCGGTTGTTTGGTCCCCAGACCGTACGTTGTTGATGCCGTTTTCGTGGAACTCTTGTTCCTTGGGGAGTTGTGGATTTGTCAGAGTCCGTGAACGACTTGTACCTTAGGAATGGATTTCAGAAAACGTTAATGTCATCAGCATCACATTAAACATAAAATAGAGAGCAAGCTTTGCAGGTGGCTGAAATGATCGTCATTCCTGAACAAAATTTGGTACCCAAGCGAAAGACCGGCTCTTCATAGCAATGTGCTTTTTTGTTACATGTAAGAAGTGCCAGCTGCAAGTAGAAAGGAAAGACTGAAAAATAAATGAAACCTTTTAGGGGCACAAAAAGGAGCAGTTTCTTGAAGCAGTTTCTATAACCAGCAACAGATTGCTGGTTAAATTTTGGTTCTGTGCGTAAAAACGAACGAGGGCCGATCTTTCCCAGTACGGTTCGTGAGTAATTCATTATCTCGCGCTCGCCGGCTTTCGAAAACCAAAAAAATACACGGCTCTTAATCGCTTCCATGAAAACGGTCCGTATGGTAAAATCCAGACCAAGAAAAAACCAATCAGATCGCTCAGATTTATCTCAAGACGGCTTTGCCATGTAGTAAAGCTGATTACGTGACATTAACTGTTGACTTGAAACCAATGAATACCATATACACGTACGTTGAAGAGGCTTCGTCTCCGTTTGGATAACGGGTTCCCACTACACAATATTATGTGCGGTAAGATTTTTAAAAGCTAAGTATCAAAACGGAGGAAGGATTTTTGCAAACACTAGCTCGCAGGCACAGCAAAAATCAAGAACCCAACTCACGCCAATGTTGGGTGTCTGGAGAGTGACATGTTAATTGCAGTTTCCGCATTAATTAAAAAAAAAAGGAGAAAAAGGCAAGGGTTTTAATCCCTTTTGACCTTAGCTTTGACAATGAATAATAACTTCTCTGAGCAGGCAGTTACAAGACACATCCATACTTAGTTGAATAAAGTCAGCTCACTTTTGGTTGAAAATGAAATGCTCCAAGATCTTGGTTTCTCCTTGCAAACCCCACACGCTGCTCCAAACACACGCTTGTAGGCCCACCAATAGCGCATGCTCATTTTGCCGTAGATGATAGGGTTTGCCAGGGCGTAGATAAGAGACACCATTCCTGTGAGAAGCACGACAAGCTTGCTAGACCTCCGGTCTGTTGCCAAGGTTACGATGTTGCTGATCTAAAAAGAGAGGCTGTTAGAACAGAGCATCATGTTTATGGTGAGGAAGGTTGTAGCGGTTTTAAGGAGCATTTTTTTCCAACTTTCAGTGGCGCAAATTGTCCTTGGTTTGCTCCATACATTTTATCTTTGTTGCCGCTCTGTTCTTTTTTCCATGCAGGTGTTTTGGTTATTACCAGGAACCCATGCCCCGGAGCCTCCATACGTACTTTAGCCTAGAAATAACCCTTTCCCATATTATTCTACTTTTAGAACTGTAATTAGCACAGGGGTCTCTTAGTTTCCCGCGGAATATCTTGTTTCTGCAAATGACAAAAGCAAAATAGCGGCCAAAGGGAATCCCAGTCTTTGTTGGAACAAAGAATGGCCTTAGATCGGGTGTCATCGAGTGTTAACAAGGGGTCGTGTGAAAACTCCCCCTAAGCTGTTTCTAAAAATAGAAAGGAACGGTAAAGGGTTAACGCAGTCCCTCGGCCAATCAAGAATGTAGTAATGGTCCATCTGTACCCACAAAGGCAAAAATCCACTGATGACTTGATTAAATTCGATCAAGTCCTTTAGTATTGCATTAAGGTCATTCCCCAGTATTGCATTGTACATCCTTACTGCACATAATTTATGGCGTCATTAGCGCGCGTTCGTGCACGCGCACATTGAAAACATGGCGGATTTGCCTTAATATTGGTGTTCTGTCAGTTGAAAAATAGCTATAGCTATATACCTAACGAGCTGGGCACCCCAAATTTTTTTCCAGTCATTTTAATCAACTAATCATTAGCTTTGAGTGAGAAAAGACTGATCTGATTTCTATGTTTGAAAATTGAATAAATAAGAAGAAAAGGAGCTACACTGTAGTCTTTTCTATTTTGAAGTTTGATAGCCGTGGCAAGCAATTTGTTTCCAATATTTTAACAAAGATTCAGCTGTCTGTCAAAATCAAACTTGAAAAGTTTATTTGTGTCTGACAAGAGTATTGACTGTAGTTTGAGGCGTGTTTCATGAGTCTGGGCTCACAAAGAGTTTACAATGACTTCGAATGCGTTCTTGTAAAAAGCATTAAATAACGCTAAAATGGGACATTTTCAATGCCTCACTGCTCCTTAACGACCACGGCCAACCCCCTTTTTTATTTTATAATTTAAGTTCTCATATGATAAATATTCATTGGCCAAAGTTTGAACAAAAATCTATGTGCAGTTTTATTTCAGGGGAATTAGCTTAACTCAGTGTAACTTTTTAAAATTTCTTGTAGAGGGCCTATTCTTTAAGCTCAGTTTTAAATGTTCAAAATTGTTGGGATGGGAGTTTCTAAGTTAATCTAAGATAATCTATTTGTTTCAACACGAATCTAGTGGTCATTCAAAACTTTATCTAAATCCTCTTCACTGGCACTTTACCAGGAGGCCGCCAGTTTGTTAACGAGCGCACACTGCACAGAGAACAGCATTCGTGATAGAATGCTTTTAGATTTATACTAAAACTCAATAGAAACACGGAAATTTTTTTTTGTATTTCATAGTTACGAAGAGTATAAAATTGCCATTTATAACTGTTTCAGTAAAAATGCTCGGTGTATTCAAGTATACACGTTGGTTATACTGAAACATACACTGATCAATAAAATCCTCGATCTGAAGCTAAGAGCATTTCACCATTTGCCATAGAAACAATGGCAACTTGTTAACGTTGGTTTCAATTTCAAATTCGTTGCTAAAACCTCTTGTACTAACAGTTTATTCACGGAAGAGAGATTGTCTTGAACCGGAGCTATTTCAAACATTGCCCAATCTTTTTGTAACAACACAAAATTTCCACTTAAGTGCAGTCGTATCGTTTGTGCGGCTTTATAACTACATCTGGTGGCGTGACAAGGGAACAGTGATTGCAACAAGTTTACTACAGACTGGAATAAAAAGTGATCAAGCTACTGCAGTTTTCAGTAAACTTGTTGTAAATCCCCTTTCCACTTGTGAAGCGATAAGGGCTTTATTCGAGCGCTGTTAAATTACCCAGGCCCTTCGGTTTCCTTGGTACACTTCTTTCCAAGCAACTTGAAGGCCCTGGAAACTAACTTCTCTTTCCTTTCGATGTTTTCAACGTTGAAACGCTTCGTCACAAGAGGAGATAAATGGTTCGCTTGCCTTATCACGCGTGGAAAATTAGCCTTACTAATTATTGGTTGAGTCCTAGCAATTCTCTTTACTCGCACCGATAAACTCACCAACATGGGCAGCCAGCTGATATAGTAGAGAAAAACAACAACAGCCATCATACGCGACAGTCTTTGAATCTCCCTGACACCTGAGGGGTTGCTTTTCCGTCTTTCCTTTGGCTTCTCGCACCCGGGCACCTTGGGACTCGACCCGCGAGTCGCGTCTGTTCCAGCGCTCTTGTTTTTAATGTCCATTCTTGTCTGCCGTTGAATAAACTTTGTACTTGAAGATTTAATTGCAAAGTAACAAACTAACACTGATGTTAGTAAGAGAAACGACACGGTTAGAATAAGTACTGAGTACGTGTTACCCAAGTCTGTCAAATGATAAAGACATTTGCCATCTTTATAACCCGATTTTCCGACTCCCATAAACGGCAAGCTTGCGAACAAAATAGCGCCGACCCAAGTGAATACAACGAGTTTCTTTACTCTTGAAGTTGTGATGGTTGTACGATATTTAAACGGCTTTAAGATCATAAACGCTCGATCGATTGCCATAAGTGTCACTGTTCCCGCAGAAGCAAAGCGAAGTGAATGCACTACCACAATATACAAGCCGCAGTTGAACGCTGTCCATTTCTGCAGAAGGAAATAATTCATGAAAATGACAATTTGAAGAGCGAAAGCTCCCCCGACGAAGTCAGCCGTTGACAGTGAAAGAAGAAGAACATCTGTGATCAACCAATGTTTTTGGAACTTCAATGAAAGGAGGACCAAAAGATTTCCGAGGGCTACTGCCAGAATGCCTGATTCGAGGATTAAACCAATTGCAAGTGGACTCAAGGAAGTTACTTCTTCATTATCACTCGTTTCTCTTGAAGTAAAAGCTATTGTTGAAACATTCGCTCTTTCGCCGGTCACGGTTGCGGTTGTGGAAACCATTTCAGTTCACACACGTCAGATGTCGAAAAAAGCTTTGAATCTTCTTCCAGCGGTTCTCGCAACAAAATAATGGCCAGTTTCCCTCGATTCTGTTGATGAAATCAAGGTGATAATTCAGTTTTAAACAAAAGCAATCAATTACGCTTCATTGACGAGTTCATATTGTTGAATAAATTCCTTGTCAAGAGTGTTCGAAAGCTTTCATTGAGACTAACTTCCAGTCGTGTGATAATAGTTTTAACAGTGCACGAAAGTCAATTAACACATTGGTAGAGAGATGCTCCAAAGTATAAAAAGTGTTTGATAGAACACCAACTCGTCAGTGATCGCTGTTGTATTTTTACCAGAGCCAGGGCAACGCAAAAGTAGGCAGTAAAATGCCCTCTTTCGTCATCTGGTGAAAAACTAATGACACGAAAAAAAAAAAAAAAAGCGTATTGTCTGAGAAATATTGAATTTTCTGTGTTTTGTTTATATGCAATTGAATGAAGTTCTTTGCATCATACGTCCAATATTTACAATTCAATGAAAAGTTTTCGTCCCTTGAGGGCAAATTCTTAATGTCTTCGATGGAATAACAGTTACTTCAGTCAAACATTCATCATAGTTAGCATTATGCAAACTCAATAGCAATTTTCTTTTGAAACATACGATGGTAAAGAAAGAGTTTTCGGTACAGGACAGCATCACAGAGCGCAGATTACTTTGCTAATTGTATTTTACGGGTTGAATCAGCGTGACTTTTATTTTATTGTTTTAAATACAAATTCCGGAAACACCCGAATAATTATTTCTTGTCTCACGTCTGTTTTCTCTTTTATTAAAATCTTGAAAACAATATCAAAGCAATAGCATTACCTGCCGTGCGTAGATGGAGTCCGGATTAAAATACTATCCATTACCATGGTAACAATATTTAATGATTCCATATTTGACTCTAATTTTCTTTATTTATATATCAATATCAACTCCCCCGTTATATGTGCGTGGGTTTTCTTTAGATAACAAATAAAGTACTTATACATATTCATGGTCGTAATTGCGTGAATTAAAGAAAAAAAAAGTTGAATTCATGTTAATAGTGGTGACAAAACTCTACTCAGGGGAGTGGGACATGACTAATGCATAGATAGATATGTCGGTTAGGATATGAATTAAATTTCAAATGTCCGACTGTAAATATCAGATAAATATGGCTTCCGACGATATATAATAAGAGAAAAAAAAAATCAAGCTTTATTCGAGCCACACGACTAGATAATGACATTTAGATGCTAGATGTGGAGTGGGGTGAAATTCAGAAGACAAGAAGGGTATAAACTAACGAGAAGAACACTGTATCAAAAGCTTGGCTGAGCCGGCGTAGGGAGAGCAAATTACCACTCAGTGTCAAAACATACAACGCGGTATAAAAATTCTGCTCTTGAAAGTAAAAGGAAAATAAAGATCGACCTAAATATTTTGCTGATGCGTACCACCAAACTGTCCGTTTGTCCAGACCACCCTAGCCGATTTTCTTTGTAGCAGAAAATAATAGAACAACCGGCTTGAGGACCAATGTACTACTAAATGCACATGGTAATGACCTCAGATGAAACTCAAATCCAAATGTTTATGTCATTGTCCCGTTAAGCTTTCTACGTAGTAATCGGCCACGCTTAATGCAATGTTTCTATTTTTGGCTGATAAGATCTTTTACAGATTCTACTTAAAACAGCATCATCTCCATTTTTCGGTCCCTTGCATCATTGTGTTTCTTTTTTTCGCCTTGAACCCACTAGGGGTCCACTAGGGGCGACTGGTGGGTGGCACTGAAGACACCTCGCTTCCTGATACGGAAAACGCTATATGCTTCGGCTGTGTGGAAAACATCTTGCAAAGATCGTATGAATTTATTTACATAGATTGCACCTGGCACTCAATTTTGAAATAGGAGCAAAATATGACAATTAGGAGACGAAATTCATCGAGTGTGATTCTCAGGGACCCGCCACTCACACATGGAGTGTTGTACGAAATCATGATGAAGTCCAAGCGTCGAAAAATTGTTTTTGAAATTTGTGAAATAATACTTAAACGAATTTAAAAACCTGCTAATTGCACCATAAGCCCCCTTAATGCTTTGCTAAATGCATTTAGGAATGTTTATCTCAAAGCAGTCTTTCTGTCTGCGAGCACTTCCTCAAAAGTAGAATAAGTGAATTCTAAACGGTAAAATCGAAGCCCGAGGTCGAAGATTTTTCTCTAATATCGAGAAACAACGAAGACGAGGCTTCTTCATTTTTCGAGGTTTTGTTTCACCTTTTAAGGTTCTTGAAGTTCATCTTTAAACTAAGTAAGAGCATTTAATGGCCCTATACGGTACTCCCAAGCAACTAAAGGAAAAAAGAAAACTTTCAAAAACTAAAAGCTCATATGAGGACGCAAAGCTTATAACTATCAGGAGAGTAGTTTTTATTTACATTTGCTGATCAACTGTCGTCATTATTTCTATTCCTTTTTGGGTTTGTTTGTTTGTTGCTTTTTCTTATTTTATTTTTCCTTCTCCTCTTGTCGTCTTTTTATTTTATATATTTCACGTCTGCTTCAAAATGATTTCAGGCCCAATCACATGGTATTTTAAACAGTTTGCCTCCTAAGTTTGCCACACAAATGGAAAAAAATATAATTGAGTCGATAATAGCGGGAAATTGGTAATTTGAAACATGAAGAGACAGATGCAAAGCAATATGAATATGTATGCACATATATATTTTTAAATTAAAAAAATGAAAGTAAATAAATATCAAAAAGCAATTCCTGTGCTAGAGCGCTTTTAACCAGAATCTCTTAACAACGCAAAACTCTATAGGAAATAGCTTTGAAGATGAATTTTACACTGAAAAAAAGCAGTTAACGTCATTGGCTTGCAGCATAGGCAAGTCCACAAGCTTTAAAAAAGATGGAGTGTTTTTCCTAATTTGCCGCCCAAAACACAAATATCAATGGACTTTTATTTCATTTCTGAAGCGAAGTCATTTCGTCTTAAAAAGCACTGTTAAAAAAAGCGGGCAGAAACAGAATTTATGAATTCTATCAGGAAGTACTTCCGGAGAAAAACTCATAAATAAACAAAACGAGAACTCGGGTAAACATGATCTTAAGTTACCAAACCGGAAGATAAACTTTTTTCTGATCTGACTTAGCGGGCGGCTTGGAACTCTTGTGTACACAGCCAATGGTACAATATTTTAAACGCTGCGTTTTAAAATTTGAACCAACACTTAACGACCAAAAAATATAAGATAATACTTAAATTTTAACAACTTTCGATGTTTTTAATACAAACCTCTTTCATTAAATATTAACTAATTTTCAGCCAAACCTTGCAGCATATTCTTTAATCATTGAGGATATGAAAGTACATATCAGTGAAAACTTTATCTTGAAAAATGGCTTTCAGTGAGTTGTAAATTTGACTAAAGAAATTCATGCTTGTGAGCAGTGAAAACACAAACAGCTGACTTGAAATTTGACAAGAATAATCGAAATTCTCCTTTGTTCCCTTAGAGGTTTCACACGAACATACTCTCTCACGTCTTGTGCATGACTGTTGTGAGATCAGCTAAGTCGCTCATTATAAATAGCAAGAGAGTCATATGCGCTCACCCGACCTTTCGAAACATGTACCACAACTGAAATCTAATTCTTACGAAGAAAACCGTTTTCGATAGCTTCTGTTTATAAACGCAATCCTTTTTTAAATATAGATTATTGATTTTTGTTATACAAGCAAAAATATTAATAGGTACATTAACTTATTTTCCTCACCTATAGTTCTCCGTGACTTTAATGAATTGTGATCCTTCCTGCAGATGGAAGAGAGCTCATTGTGAAGTCTTGATAGAGGTATGACACAGCAGTCTTTAGACAATTGGTTTTCTTAGCCGCCTAAACATCGAAACGCCTAACAATGGAAACACTGAATTGCATGTCAGTGTTAATTAAAAAACAGAAGGCAAGATTGCTAAAACGCATTGATGCTTTCTAATGTATTCTCTCCCACCTGTCATGTTGTTAGAGGGCTCTCCTCTTTGAATTATTAATTGATCAACACGAAATTATCTAGTCATTTAAAGGTGTTATTTCTTCGCTTGGCGTTTTAAAGAATAGTTGTTTCTGCCACAAATGTTTTTTCTTTACACTTTTTTTGCAGTGTGACTACTCGAAGCAAAGCCACCCTAACAGATTCCTTGCAAATTAATCATTTTACTCCGAGTGTTGAAACAATAAAAATTGTCACAAATAGACTTCTTTGCTTGGGCGGTTTGTCTTCCATTACAGATCACGTGATATTCTCTAGAGAATTTCTCTTTATTAATCTAAAATTTTACAATAACCGTCTAATTTCTCGCGCGCTGATTGGCTCATTTTTATCATCAATAACAGTACAGATGGATAAAATTTTAATTTATGCAAGCTTTCAAGTTCAACTTTTAGCTGTCAAACTGTCAACTTTTTAACCAATGAGATTGTATGGACTTTTTTAAGTAGCCAATCAAAAAGCGAGAAAAGCTATTGACAATGTTCGTGTCATTTTGAATAAAATTCACATATCTTTGTATACGGCAAGTTTACGGCGTCTTTTCCCCTCATTTATTCCCGTCATTTGACCATCTTGGGAGTATGCTATTGCAAAAAACAAATTGACGCCCCTTTTTTATGCGTCTGTCCTCTTATTGATGATAAATTGCGTCATAAAATTGTCAAAGCTTACTGCAGAGCCACTCGCCTGCGGCTCGTGGTTCCACAGCCACTTTGACAATGTTATGACGCAATTTATCATTAATAAGGGGACAGACGCATAAAAAATTGACTTTAGTTTGTTAAATTATCCATTCATATTTACGCGACCTGCACGTGACGACTAGAAAATTTTTAAACAAGAATCTCAAGGGTGTCATCACATGGTCTGAGGCCACGTCCACACTACGCATCAAATGTTTTCCGTCCACACTACGCCGGAGGAATTGAAAACGGAGGTTTCACTCTGAAAACGCATCAAATGTTTTCCGTCCACACTACGCTGGAGGAATTTAAAAACGGAAGTTTCACTCTGAAAACGCATCAAATGTTTTCCGTCCACACTACGCTGGAGGAATTTAAAAACGGAGGTTTCACTCTGAAAACGCATCAAATGTTTTCCGTCCACACTACGCCGGAGGAATTTGAAGACGGAGGTTTCACTCTGAAAACGCATCAAATGTTTTCCGTCCACACTACGCCGGAGGAATTTGAAGACGGAGGTTTCACTCTGAAAACGCATTTTGTTGTTTTTTCTTGCACACTACGCCCGAGGAATTTAAAAACGCAACAATCAGCGGTCATTTTGTATTTGTGTTTGAGTTAAACTGACTCCGGCAGGGGTATATCATGATTATCGTGACGTCATCGTTTTCAAAATGTTTTCCGTTCACATTAAAATACAAAGCCAACGTTTTCGATCTTCCGGTTTGAAGAGCGTTTTCGAAAAGCTCCGATTTCGTGACGGATTGGTGTGGACGGTAGGCCTAACCGGAGAAATAAAGCTGTGTTTTCAAATTCATCCAGCGTATTGTGGACGTGGCCTGGAATGGGGCAATCTCGTTCCCAGGCTCTTCTTCTCTGCCTCCCTTGTCGTTGGAAATGGGGCAACTAACTGCTTGAGGTAAAAAGGTCTTTTTATTGCTTTTGTAGTGCGCAATTCACTTAAAATTGATGGGTCATTTGTCACAGCTTTCTTCCGCAATTTAGCAATTATACGACTTTTGTGGCCTTCGTTGGATAAGTAGCAAAGTAAGTCAACTTTTTCAGAAAATAGCGTTTACATCAGGAAGTTGAGACACCGTTGTTCCCAGGCCTTTCTCAGAGGGGAAATCTTTCGCCCATTTTATCGTCCTTCGTGACCTGAAAATCAACCCCACCTCAAAGAACTGCGACAGCAAAATTTATTTTTGTGTCTACTTAGACGGGCCAATTCGTGTCTGTATTCAGAGCCTAAGTTCCACTTGACCAGCGGTTCCCAGGGAAATAGGACGATCTTCATATGAGACAACGAACTCACTGATGCTAAAGGCTTGGTTTCCACTACGATATAAACACAAGCACAATCATAAGCATAGTGGTAGCGAGGACGCCCATGCTACGACACGACCATAAGCACAAGCACAAGCAGAACAACAAAAAATATTTTTCTCGTCCTTGTGCTTGTGTTTATGCTTATGTTAAGATAGAAGTGAGAATGTGCTGCTGTATATTAGTAAACATAAGCATATGGTCCGCCTTCTTGTTCAATTGTATCGAGGTAAGGAACCGAAAATAATCGTTATGCTTATGTTTGTGCTCATGTGATAGTGAATACCAGCCCCACTAACTACGATATACGCTCTTGAACATACTCGTGTTGTTCAAAGGCAAGTCGCAATCTCGTCTTCGAGGCCACGATCCATTTGGTCAGCCGCTAGAAAAGAGGAACCAGCGGACTCTGGGAACAATATTGGTCCCAGGCTTTTGAAAGTAATGAGACAGAACATTCTCGTCCCCATAGCCCTTTTCGCTTCTCCTAGCCGGCACGTCCTTGGCACGAGAAACGAAGGGCTCTGGGGACATGTCGAATTTTTTTGATTGGCTGTTTGAAAACCAAAAAATCTTGAACGGAAGTTAAAACGTTTGCGCGGATTGCTGTCGCGAAAATATGAAACAGCTGTGGTCAGCAATATTTAAAAATAGAGGACCATTAGACTGCTGATCTGCAAATCGTTTATCTTCACGGCCTGATCTCACATCAAGGCATTTAAAAGCGAAACAACCAAAATAAACGATTCAGTTGCTCCATGCCAGGAGTCAAAAACAAAGATTGATAACTGAAAAGTCAATGACGGTCGGTAAAAAAAAAAGTTAGTGTCTTTCTTGTTCCATATCGCCCTTTCTGTTCTACACTGACGGAAACATTCTCCACTCTGATACCACTTAAGATCTGAGAAAAAAATTTCTCGAATCCTAGCTCGACGGCCGCCATTGACAATCCCAGAAACATTACGACTGCATACACGAAGACCGGAAATCCTAAAATCTGGGACTGGGAAATCCTTTGTCTCCAGAGCCCTTCGTTTCTCGTGCCAAGGCCGCCTCAGCTAAGAGAAGCGAAAAGGGTTATGGGAACGAGAATGACGACATAAAACCATGACCGACAACAATTATTAAAGTTTACGCAACATAGATACACAAGTAGTCAACCAAATTATTGAAAACCGTCAAATGACTCAAATCACGCATGCACAATTGTTGGGACGTCACCAAGCACAATCTGACAAATAGCATTACTTCTTACTGACCAACCATTTTACCGCACCATATCCAAACTGACAAATGCAAAAGGCTAAGCTTTTAACTGGCAACCAACAAATGGCTTAAATTTGATGGCTGTGTCCTAATGCATATATCAGACAGACTATCATTCAACAAAACATGTTGAGATTAGAATCTCACGGCAGCGTTGGTTATCGTAGACGTAATATCTGGAGTTATATTTTTGCTACGCAGTGTTTCAAGGAAAAGAAATACGATAGATAATTGTAATTTGTACATTTCAACGCCGAAAAAAAGCCATTTTGATGTTCAGCACAAATGTTAAGCTTTTAAACGGAACAATCAAATGAATTTTAATAACTGCTAGCTTCATAAAACAAAAGAAATTAGTTTCCAAGTATAAGAAAATAAAGGGCTTAAATGTAAATTCCTATTTTGAGTTGAAGAAAATTTAATTGTCAATTTTGGCATACATTATATACATGTATCCCGAACTTAGAAATAATTTACTGAGATTTTCTTGGTTTTGAAAATGGTTATCTCCTATTTTGCTCCATCACACTTTGGTCTGCTGTAAGTTTAAATTTTCAGGAAATTTAAGAAACAGTGTCATTTTAATTTAAAGCACGAAAATTGGGAAAAGATTTCTGGCGCAACATAAATTGCGCGGTGTGATTTTTTTTTTTATCTGCGTGATTCGCGCGCACCCATAAGTCGTTTAAACGCGCTTAAAGCGGACTACATTTACCATCTATTAAGTTGCCTGGATTTCGTTTATATCATAACGTGAAAGGTGAGAATGACACTCTTTGTAGCATTAGATTGTATCAACACAGCCCTTTATTAACCGTGACAGCTTTCTTTCTTTTGTAATCTTTACACACTTTTTAAGAGCTGGAAAAACCTCGTGTAAACATACCCAACTACAAAATCAAACAAGCAAGGCTACAAAAAATCCTTTTTATTATGTTAATGACGATTCATTTAGGTGTTAAAAGCCTGACAAGCTCATAACGTCACCACTGTGGTAAATAAAGGTTCTAAAAAAGACATCTTTCAATGCTTCTGAGAGCGATACGGTACACTTGGATGTAATAAGGGTTTTGTTGCAGATAGCTGGCACTTCTACGGAGAACATTATTAGAGGCAGTCTCAGGAATGTTTGGTTACTAAGTAGGCAGCAATTGATTTAGCTTTGATGCGACTCATTGACCTTAGCCACGGCAAGAAATTGATGAATTCCGCCTGTTTACACAGTGCTGAATACCGGGCTAATTCATACCTCGCCGTCTCGACGCACTTCACTTGCACTTCACTGCATTTTGAGTAAGGTAACAAGACGAATATCGTGCTGTAAAGATGAGCACGTCTGCGTTTATGAACGTAACTTCAACGCTATGGATCCCTCCCTCGACTTCCACAACAAATGCTTACTCAAGGAACGACACCGAGGAATTTTTCAGCAACAAAACAAATGGCACAACAAGCATTTGGGAAACACAGGACACTATGAACCCATTTCTCTTCGGGTTGATACTCCAATCTTCTATCATCCTTGTTGTGTTTGGAAACGCCTTAGTTCTGGCGGCACTATCATGCTACAGAAATTGGACATCCGCGGATGTTCTGATATTCTCGCTTTCATTAGCTGACGTCTTGGACTCTATAGTCGCGCTGCAGCTTATAACGACTGTAAAATACTATATGGGAAAACACATGGCTAAATCTCTCTGCAATGCCTTCATCGGCTTGGTGTATACTTTTCGTGCAGCCTCGGCAACAACTGTTACCGTGATCGCGGTAGAGCGCGCTATCCTGTTGACACAACCTTTCAGACACCACACGTTAGTTACGCCTTCCCGTATAAAGAAATTCGTGCTTGGAATTTGGCTTTTTTCTGTGTTTTCAGCAATTTTACCGTTCATCGGCGTTGGCCATTCCGGGTTTAGGGACGGAGAGTGTTTTTCACAGCTCTACGACTTAGGCAAAACATACGCTGTTTACATCGAGGTCTTCGGCGCTCTTCAGTTGCTGGTGGTCCTAGCTTCCTATTTCGCAATCAAGCTGTCGGGAAAGATGTTTATTAGAAGACAGACAATGATGTCGGGGCATGATGGAAATAATCTACGAGGCAACCGAGAAAGCGCACAAGTACCAGGCAATACGAGCGGAGTGCGAAATGTGAGGAAGCTGACTGTGATGATGGGAGTAGTAGTCTTGTTTTATTACATCAGCTGGTTGCCTTTCTTGGTAAGTCATACTTAACGATGGATCGAAAAATAATCGCTCTTGTCTAATAATAAATTCATTTTTTAAGTTGACAGGTAATAAAATTAAAAACTGATCATTAAGCAGCCAGACAGCCGCAGGAATCTCATTGTCGAAGTTTTTGTCTTTGTGACAATTTTTTTCGGTTTTCCAAGCTTCTCAGCGAATCACAGCGTCAATTCTTACACGTGCATTGTAACAGCCTATGATTACATTGACTCCCGGCTATTGGCTTCTCCGCCTTCCCAGACGGACTGCGTTTTTAATAGACCAAGCAAATGCAAACTATATTAAAAACGTCAAAAAACCGTCAAGATCTTATCAGACAATGTTTCAGTTCCAGAAGAAGCGATGCACAAGCTGTTCGGGAAATAGAAATCATCTAGGCGGCTATCCAACTATAAAATATATGACGATTCCGAATTCGAATATGGTAAAGCAATTCTGTCTTTTCCAGAGAGGACTTATAGTTTTAAGATCTATTTTTGACATGCCTTAACAGAAAGTTTAAGACCCTGACGAGTCAAGAAAACTAATTTAAGTTTATGCATCATGCATAAGTTTATGCATCATCCGATCATACGAATTGATATAAGACTAAGTCACTTAATTACTCCTTGCAAAATCTTCAATTCAAAGCACTCCTATGTATGAGATTTTATTATATTTCTTCTACAAAAAGTAATGCCAGAAGATTTTAAAAGAAACTTGGCTTAATTCAACTGCAGCACTATGATTAAAATGTCTAATGTTTCGAAGAATTGCTAGCGCTCAAATAGGTACACAAATGAATCTACAGTATATTGTTATCAAATTCTTGATAAAAGACGTTGCGTTTGTCGGTCAGCTAACTATCAATCAAATTGAACTCAACAATTACTTTTAATTGCGGCTCTGTCAATTAATTCGATTGCAATAACTTTGCAATTATGCGAAAGGTCATGAAAGTGCGAGTCGGACAGACGATTATCAAGTCACCTCTGAGACTACCTTGAATATTTACCCATATTAGCGTTCCGTACAGTTTTAAAACCTGTTTTTAAGCCTCTTACTCTTCAGCCGTTACATTACATATTTACAAATGACAGTTGACGGTATTTGAGTTCACCAGGCCTCTTCCATAAAGAACATCATTGTTGTTCAAATTCATAAAATGAAATTTAGAGCCAATGGTGAAAAGACGTTTTTCATTTAACTGCTACTAAAAATAGTGTATTTGCACTTTGCCCTACACTTTTCCCGCAGTCAGACCAGCATAATATAAACACCCCCCTATGCAGCTGAGTCTACAATCGTTGGATTTGCTCGGACAAATAACAAATGCACGAAATAAAAACCGACCAGTTGTGACTGTAGAAGTAATTTATTTTATTTCATGGCTCTCCGTAATTTGTCATCGATTACCTAGCTTGGGAAGTGTGTTTGCTTGAACGGGTGACCAGAGCCCGCGTCCTTCTTGACCAGCAGCCGGGAAACGCCTTTTCTTACCGCTGACCAAAAAGTACGTGGGCTCTGGGCTCTAGGTTGAGAACTATAGCACGTGCAATTTGACAACAAACTAACCTGACGTTAATCTTGCCTTCATCCCAGCTAAACAACATGTTTTGCCTGATCGTTGATCGGGAGCCAGCAAAAAAGGTTGTCCTCTTCACAAGTGTGATTTCTCTCCTTCATGCAGTGGTCAATCCACCGCTGTACGGCTGGATGAGCCAGCGGTACAGGCGAGGTTACCTCTTCGTGTTCAAATTGGCACTGAGCGTCTGTGGAGGCACTCGTCCTAACAGGAGATCCCTGAGTAAGTTTTTGCCACCTGTCTTACCACTCTCGTCTCCAGGCTTGCCTATCCCTCAATTTTCATTGAAGACCTCCATAACGAAAAATGTACATAATAATTCCACTTCCTGTCAGAATTTTACTTCCAAATTCCCTCTGTTGAAATCTGATGATATCTATAGGTGATGCAATTTAGCGGTTAACGGAAAAGAATGGATATTTTGAATAAGTGAAAATCTTACTCCAAAAAAAAGACTAGCCAATCAAATCATAGGTCCCCAGGGCCACTCTTTTTTCGTGCCAAACCTCCATCGGCTGAGAGGGACGAGGCGGCCTTGGGGACTAAAGTGGTGTATTCCTCGAGCCAAAATGGGAAAGGCGGCTCTTGGGACGAGAATGAGAAAAAAAAATGCTTTTTATTCTGCACAATTCAGCTAGAACCACTATAACAGAGGCCTTGTGCTGTTAATCTTAACTTCTTCTACTCGTTACAGGCGTATCTCGTCGCTATTGCAATGGATCGAATCTTAAGCGACGAGCAACATCCACTGACATGACTGTTTACAACAGCAGGTTCTCTCTACCTGTGGTGGACTTCACCTCTGTTGCAGACAGGAAAGGTCGGTATTAAAATTTGAGGGCTTTGCACGAGAAAAATACGATTTGTTTATGCTACTTAGTAAGAATAGTCCGAAGATCGATTATTTAAATTTTGAAGTCGGAAGTCGGAAGTCGGAAGTCGGAACTCAGAAGTCGGAAGTCGGAGCTCAGAAGTCAGAAGTCGGAAGTCAGAAATCGGAAGTCAATAGTCGGAACTCAGAAGTTGGAAGTCGGAAGTCCCCGAAGTCGGAACTCAGAAGTCGGAAGTCCCTCCGACTTTCGTATTGCTGCGTAATTATCCTTTTCAAGTCCTGTTGTAAAACCCTTCACATATAAATGAACTAATTCCATGCAACTGTAAAAGGTGAATTTCGTTTTTGTTTGAAACGTATTGCTCCAGGAATACAACCCGCGGCCCTTTCGACAGATCTTGAGCAAAAGAACTCTTGCCTACACATCAGAATCAGACGTTTCATATTAATGTAGTCGTCACGAGCACACAAAATGTTGCAAGTTGGTTTATAACCTTCAAGAACCGCCATGTTGGTTAGCAACGTACACAAGACAGGAATGTAAATCTTCCATGACCAGGCTTGATATTCCTATTTTTCCTGCCAGCGTTCGCTGAAAATATCCTTGTCAGTGTATATTCTGGATTACAGAGTAGAGCATATATTTCAGTTAAATAAAACGTTTAATTACCGCTATGTGACCGAGAATGGAACAATCAAATTGAACTGTATGGTGTCTCTATCGGGTTCAAATTGCGCACGAACTTTATCGTTTTACCTTAGCTAGTGTTGTTGAAAAAGTTAAGAATTTTCCATACTGTTCAATGGTAAAACGAAATTCATTTCGAAATATTATTTGGTTTTATTGTGTCTTATTTTCGATCAAAGCTTGTAAGAAAATCTCAGCCTTGGGGGGTGTCTCAAAAACTAAGACCTGAGACTTAAGATCTAAGACTTAAGACCCCCCTCCGAATCTCAAAAACCTAAGACCAACAGGAATCAGATCTTCTAATGCAAACAATTTTGGGCCACAAAAAGTACACGTTTGGAACAATCTCTCTCTTATACATCTCTCTCCCACCGGCCAGTCAGTGCTCAACAACGCTAAAAAATCTTTTTGGCAAATTTCTTTTCTAATGTTTTTTCTAATCCTTTCTTTTGTTAGAAAGCAATCCAGATAACAAGGAATTACCACACACGTTAGAAGGGAAAACAAACGAAGACATTGAAAACAATAACGAACCAGTTGAAGAACATGCGCATGACAAGGTGGAAACCACAGTCGAGGTTGATGAGATAGCGGGCGCAGATAACAAAAGCCTTGTCTACGCCGATGTGATTAAATTATTGGAAGCTATCCTTGAGAGATTAGAAGAATAGATAGAAGTGGATTTAAGAATTTAGTCGATCTAGCTGTAAAGTTAGCAAAATGGTGACCACGTGCTTTGCCCTCCTCTGGTATATCTTAAGGGAAAAGAAGTTTCAACTTACCTATGAGGGGGTCACTTATTCCAGCAAGTTTCAAAACTCCAACATTTTGTAGCAACTGCGATTAACCTTGGGGTGTATTTTTCAAAATTTTCATTTTAACAAGTATTTAAGTTGTATTTACTACAAAAATGTCAACTGTGATTAAGGCTGATATTGGAGAACATCACACTCAAAGTTTTCTGTGCAATCAACTAAAAGTCCACCAAAATCTCTGCAAAATGAATTAGAAGACGTTGAGAATGCAACGCAAACTCTTGGTATCACAACAACTCATTTTAGCGCCTCTTTTTCAAAACGTGCCCCTCAATAAAGGTACCGTGTACCTTCAGAGTGAAAAAAGTTTAAATTTGTTTTTATCCGTAAAAATAAACTTTGAATTATGAGCTTTCAGACAAGACAAAGAAAATTCAAAATGTATAAATATTCGCCGAGAAATTGGACTCGGTCGTTTTTCACCGAAAGTAAATTTGTTATTGATTGAGAAAACTTTTTTTGTCACTGGATGCGGGGACACTTTGAAGAATAACAACTCAAAAGAGATTTGTCTTTTTTTTTGAGTCAAATTTGGTCAGTCGAAAGGTTAACCTATCCCCCAAACAAGCATGTTGAGGAATTTGACAATTCTAAAAATTAGTTCGTTAGAGTCATTTCATCTCTCCGTAACGTTTTACCCCTGCTTTTTACAGAAAATATGAAAATGTTCTGTAACTTTTGAATCGAATATAGGAAAAGCTCAACACGCCACTTTACCGTTTGGGTTCATGACCTCGAGAAAAAAAAGGAAAATACAATTCCCAAAATATAAAAATCGTGTTGTATTGGAACTTAAAAAAAGATGATTTATACCTTCCAGTCAGACTTCGCGAAATATTCATTAATTCATTATTCGGAAAACCTGATGAAAGTTTTGAATAGCCAGATCAGTAAGCTTTAACCTGATATAGGGTTTAGGAAATCTGTGATTTAACTGCGAAGCTTTACTTCCGTTGGAGTGGAGACGCCCTATAGGTACACGGTAACCTTAAAAAAGTACTAATAAATTGACCCAATTTGAAAACTTGACTCTGTTCAATTTGTCTCTGTTACAACAAGATCTTTTGTTTGTATAAACATACCCTGTTGACCTATTCCTAAAACTTCTTCCTCTCATCTTACCATACTTGGCGCCCAGTGTACAGAGTTTGAACAGTTTTTTTTCGTTCGTATAGATCGTTTCCATGTGACGTCATCATTTTCTAAAAGCGAAAACTAAAGAGCCACCAAAGTTTTTATCCCCATCAGTTATAAGAGGGGGTAAATTTATATCTGTTTACAATGTTGCAGCTCAATAGTGTGCTTCGTTTGAAAACCAGCGTATTTTGAATTTCAGAGCTATGGTAGTGCGTGACACAAAGCTACAATCGCATTTGTCGCAAAATATACACCTATCTCGTGATTTTTAGCTTTTTTTAGAAGTTAGATCATTTGGAAAAGTGCTTACGTAAATGTTTGTTTGTTCAGCACAGATAATAAGTCGCCTAGATAGCCAAAGTAAGTTCCAGATGTTTACACTATTTTCCGGCCGCCATCTTGGTGCACCACAGAGGTGCACCAACATGGCGTTTCCATACTGGGTTCTGTGAATTTCTGCGAAACATTTCGACAAATATCTGCCGTCTGGGAAAACGCACAAACCTAAAACTTGGAGAAGTCTCTTCTCTATCTATTTCCTATAAGGTCACAATTTCTTGACTTTATCCTCTGAATGGTTAATTTTCGATATGTTTTTTTATTGCGTGACAGTGAAAACGATCTATAGTGTTAATTCAAGTCCATTAGAGCAGATTTAACAGTTTTGGTTACAGAAGTACCTTCGTTTAAACGCAAAATGCTCTTACAACACCGAGATAAAAATATTAATTTAGTAAATTATTGATGGGCGAGCAAATTGTAATTAGTCTTAAGCGATTTTTTCCATGGCACGAAAAGTCTGCCATAATCATAGTCACGTGCATACGTAAGCCATTGTAACACTATCTCAGTAGCTTCTGTGTACTTATATAGTAATTTTTAACAGAACTAGACCATCGTATTTAGGTTTCCATCAACAAAATGTCTTTTAAGTTTTGACTTAACGAAGCCATGCCCCTTTAATAATCGATGATACATCGTCTCAAAACGAATTATTTGGCGTTTTCAACAAGTTGATGACTTTGTATGGGCTCTACATCGGCTGGTTTTTCTTTAGATATGTGCTGCGTAATTGGGTCTATCTTGGGTTGAGATTTCAATGATATTAAATGTTTATCAATCTCTTCATTGGGCTTAACAGCTTCAATGTCCATCGCATGTTCTTTAATGTCACCCACTTCTTTCTCTTTCTCAAATGTTTCTAGTAGCGGCTGGATGGGATCTATGGGCTTGGGAGGAGGAATGGACACTCTTTTTTTCCCTTTCCTGTTGCGCTTAGCGGTATGTTGACTGTTCTTGTGTTTCAGGTTGCTGTGTGTCCTTGTCAATAACTTCTCCTTTCTCTTGAATTTTCTCACTTTCAAGTTAGTCTTCCAACTCCTCGACACAGTTGTTACCCTCGGATGTGCCACAACATTCTCCCGCCTTCTGGCATACGTACTGATTATTTTTCTGCTTTTTACAAGGCGTAATTTCTTCCTGTTCCCACTCAGAGTAGGGACAAAATGCCTACTCGCAGCGTGACCAAAAGAAGACATTGCGTGACCGTGCGTTGCGTGACCATCCGTAACGTTAGCAACAGAGGCGTGACTTCTTTCCCACGCCGGCTCTTCTTGAAAATCAAGAGGAATCCGCGCCACGTCGGAAATCTCATCTATATCAGGAATTTTCTCGTTGCTACTCATGCTGCTCATTTCATTCGTAATTGGTTGCATCGAAGGTGGGTTGCCGACGTCGTCCATTTCATTATCGATTGATCCCATAGGCGTTGGCCACGCAGCCGAGATGGTATCGATCGCTGGAATCCTCGTCGGCCGAGAAAAACTGTTCGGAGGATCAAGCGAATACGTTGCTAAGTTTTGCAGTTTGTTTGTGGCGTTCTGAACGACAGTCACGTTATTAGTCACGACGTTGTCGTTAACGTCAGAAGAGGAATTTGTTCCTTTGGCGGGTGTATTGTTCACAGGGTCAGGAGTTTTCACGTTATCTTTCGTGGAGTTCGCGGACGCGTCTCCGCGCGCAGAGACACGAGCGGTGGGTGTGGTCGATGTAGGAATGGCCTGCACCGTTTCTAGGATACCACTACGGCGAGGAACGTGTTCCCTCACTTTTGCATCTAGGGGTAGAATTAGTGAAAAGTACCATTAGCAACAAGGCCTTAGTTGCTGGAAGGCTGGATAACGCTATCCACCGGCCAAATCGCTATCCAGTGGATAAATACTAAGCAAACAAACCACTCCATCCGCTGCATAGCGTTATACACCTTTCGAGCAACCCGGGCCAGGAATTACGCGATGTCTGCTCAAAATGAAATCCTTAAAACGTCGCTACTTTATCTCTGACTGACTGATTAGCAACATATTACACGCTTTATTGCCAAGCAATAATACAAGCACATATTTGATTACTTTTGAACGTTATCGATGAACCGCTCCATTGGGGACGAGTTATTTCAGATTTAAGTTACATGGAAACAATGTATTTTTTCAGTGCATGTTCCTGAGAGGTGATATATTACTAAACACTTCATTAGTAACATTCATTTTGTTGACTGTGTTCTGTGCTAGATGCCTTGTTATTGAGCGAAATTGAAAACTATTGAGGTCTATCGATCAAGAGATTTCAAATTGTTTTTACAATATGTTCTGACAGATTTACGCCTAGCTTTGAAACCATGTCAAACAGTATTAACACAACACGTCTAAATCTCTCGTGTTTTGTCTACTTACGTAATTTGCTGTCAACATATTTCCCTCCTTCCTTGGAATGAACGCTGGAAGAGCACTGTTTGACAACAAAACGGATAAAACTAATAAATAACACCTTCAGGCGAAAAAAGCATAACTGAAGGAAACGGGTAATAAATTCGGTATTTACCTCGACAGCCAAGTAGGTAGACAATACGAAAATTATCACCACCTTGGTAAACCTTTCAGTATTCATTATCCTCTGTCATGGACGCTTTGGGAATCAAGACACTTGTTAAATCAAAGTAAAATAATTTCTTGAAATCTTATGACTATTTTTGGCCAGAGTGGAATTTAAAAAGATGTTACCTTTGAGAGCAACACTCTAGATATCGTAAGAGTTACAAGAATTATGAACCTGCCTTGTTTAACAGGTGTTTAACATTGCTCCTTGAGTGGAACTTAACGGTCATACTTCCGACAACCTGTCGCAATAAATCCAGGTTTGTAAATAAAATAAAACAAAATATACCTCTTCATTGTCCAAGGAATATCTCGCAAGGATGGGTTACGAGCACCGTTGGCTAAAAATACTGTTCCCGATTTGGACTAGTTAGTTGGCCATAAAGAGTGATCGATTCTCTACATCTTCTTCGCGACAGAGACGGAAAGCGAGAGGGAAAGAGAAAAGAAACAAATAGAGAAAAATAGATGACAACTGAGTGAAAAAGTTTCAAAATATGTTTAGTTTTTAAATACGTTTATGTTAACAACTGTGTTAGGAAAATAAGGGCGCAATTAATAGCAAAATATTGCCGATCGCTAGTTTTTGGTACACGACTGTATAATATATATATTTTTTATTTTCCACTGACAACTTGTTCCTAAATTTTAAGTTCGAAGAGCAGTTTCTCGCAAACTTTTCTGTATTCTTGCGATATTAGCGTCAAGATTCGCTAAGTCTCTTCTGAAATCTTCCTCTTCACCTGACGAAAGTGATGATAAATCGCCGCCATTTTGCTCCTCCTCCAAATCTACCACTGTCAAACCAGCTTCGTGTTCCTCTATCCCATCTGCATGCGCAGAGGGTCCGTACGCCGCGTCCGCGAAGCGTAAATGTTTTTTGTTTTGTAATGAGGGACTTTTCCTAGGAGTCTTCCGAGCTGTTTCGGTTTGACCGTCCATGCGATTGAGAGAAGATGGATTCTCGTGACTTACTAATGTTCTGTTGGGAAGACTTGGAGGAACCGTGTTTCCGTTATTACGTCTTGCCAGCTGCAAAACTTCAGGGGAGAGGCCTGGGGTAATTGTTTGTCCTCTGAAAGAACAAAAGAGAGGTTCAAGACAAACCAAATACTATGTGCATCATTTTCAAGGGAGGCACATCCCGACATCAATTACTATACGTTTTCTTCGGTCGAAGAAGTCATAGACATCACGGTTTCTAGGAATATTTAAAAACCGGGAAAGCTTACATAAATAAAGACTACGCCGAATAATACAAAATTTCTTTGTTTTGTTTTGTTTTGTTTTGTTTTGTTTTACTATGAACTAGAGTTTTTGAGATAGCAGTCATAACAGACGAAGATGCCATTCCCAATTTCTCTTCCATGATCAATTCTCCTTGAAGAGTTCTTTCTTTCGATGCAAGGCAGGGCGGTTACCATTGCTGCGAGCACGAGGAGCCGAGGGGTCTGATTTGACCGTATTCCAGCTAAATTCACCGTGCTATAAGAGTGCGAAATCGATCCTGTTGATTCAAATTACTGTACGTTATCAAACTAAGTGTCATGTGATCGTCGGTTGAAATTCTATCAACATGTGATGAGCCGAAAATGGTCGTCGCCCTTCCGGCGGAAACCTTCGCTTTCCGAATTTAGGGACTGCCAAGTGTCCACCTTAAAAAAGTTACTAGTCATTACTGAGCGATATGCCCAGAATCTTTGCTATGTGCAGCTTTCTTCTTGCGGATAGAAGATCGCATGACTCTTCATCAAGATTCATTTGCGCTACATTTGTACGACAAAATTAGAGGGAAATACTGTCAAATACGACTCCTCTGCTCCCTATGCTGCGTAAAGTAATACGACTCTCAGAAAAAATTGAGGGAGAAAATAAAATGAGTTGTACTTACATTGTTTTCACATCACTCCTAAGCAGCTTATCCAGAGCCTCAAATGCACTCGCTTTATACAACATTCCGCCCGGCTTTAACACACCGTTTGGCTGAAACTGCTGTATGTCCGACAACAAGCGAGTAAGAGACTGTTGAAGGCCCCTGCCCAGGACAAAAAGTGACGAGTACATAACGTGTCCCATGACAAAAAAACGGTACAAGAGAAGCGTTGGGTCCCATCCACACTACGCTGGAGAAATTTGAAAACGCAACAATCACCCGTCATTTTGGATTTGTGTTTGAGGAAAACTTGGATAGGAAAATCACATGAATATCGCGATATCATCGTTTTCAAAAAGTTTTCCGTCCACACTACATCGCAAATCCGGGGTTTTCAAATTCTTCAGGTTTGAAGAACGTTTTCGAAAAGCTCCGTTCTCTTGACGGATTAGCATGGACGGTAGTCCTAACCGTAGAAATAAAGCTGTGTTTTCAAATTTTTTCCGGCGTAGCGTGGACAGGGCGTTAGAAGATCCAACCAACCTTGTGAGTTCCTTTAGTCTGTCAATTTCCGCGTCTTTTTGCTTCAACGAAAGATTGAGAATGTTGACCTCTTTCTTGTCTGCTTCC